CTGTATCAATAAGCAAGACAAGGACTTCATTCAAATATAGGGGTCACACCAGAATTTTTTTTCAAATTGGAAAAAAAATGAAGCAGGCAAATCTGAGAACCAATTATTGATTTAATTTGTGTGGTCCATGGAGCTTTAAAAAAAGTTTCCTGTGTTTTGATAGTTTGGTCATGTTGTATATGTTGTCAATGATTTTTTTTCACGTTTGTACATGTAGCTATGTTGTTTTTTCTTCAGAAAATTTGAGTCCAAAAGAGCTGAAGAAGTTGAGAAGTAAGCAGAGAAGAGCTGCCAAGAAGGCGGCCATCTTGGAGGAGAAGAAACACCAACAGGAGATGCAGCAGCAGAAGGGCAAACGCAAGGACCCTGACACGGAGCAGGACGGTCCTAAGGAAGATGACTTGGTGCCTGAAAAACTGGCCAAGGTAAGTGGCAGTCATATTGGTACAATGAGCATGTCCATGTCGGCAGAAAGTACTGCACCTGCAGGAAACCAGTAATGTATTGTGCATAGCACTTTGGCAGAACGTCTTATTTAAGGTATATATTTCATCTAGAGTTTTCAAATGTTGTGTCAGAAAAGATGTCTGCAACAGATCAAATTCTGATGGAACGTTAACCAAACTTCCAACAAAAAACAGGAAAATTCCGGAATGTGTGGTGGTGCACTATGTTCTACCAAGGTGCTGGTATAATGATACTTCATGTGAAAATGAAATATGTGTATGAAGTAACTGTTACTGTCTGTTAATGTTGATTTTTACTCTTCTGTGAACTTTTTTTTCAGGTGGAAAATCCACTGGATGAAGCAATGAAGTTCCTAAAACCGATCCAAATGTTTGCCCATGAAAGGATAGAGACCCATCTGCTGGCTTTTGAAGTCTACTATAGAAGAGGTGAGATTTTGTTTGAAGTTTTTGATGAAGTTTTTGTCATTTTGCTGAACCTAGACCATTGTGCTTGTTTGATTGGCCACATGAATGTCACTTCGTCGGAAAGAATTTCCAGTAGATTTGAAGTCTCAAGCTACTAATGAAAGACAAGGCAAAAATTTTTGTACCTATCTGCAGTGTATAAAGTATAAGGCAGTGTCAGGTGTCAGTGTGATCTAATTATCTCAACAGCCAATCAGCAAGAAGGAAGAACAACCACTTGTAAATTGGCCAATCAGGCCATGCCTGTAGAAAGCTGCTTGCCCATTGGTTCTTGCTCTTCATACCAAATGCTAAGTATGGTCTCATACCAAATATGGTCACACACACTGCCATGGTACATTTTGCTCTGAAAACAGCCCAAAAGTCCCAAATTATACATTTTCAAAAGTACACAAAAAACAAAATATTTGATGTCTCCTAGGCAAACTGCTACTGATGCTCCAGGCTGTGAAGAGGGCTGTGGCCTTGGACTCCAACAATGCCTGGCTGCACGAATGTCTTGTTAGGTTCTCCAAAGCAGGTGAGTACTTCTCATAATAATCATATAATATCTATCGACTTTCTGGCAATCAACAGATTCAGCCAAAGGTTGTTTACAGTGTAATGCCAGTGTCGGGAGACCCCTGCATACTGCAATTAGGGATGGCTGATCATTAGCCATTTTCTCATTACCTGCAGGGAGATGAACACCAGAGTTTACCATGCTCTATTGGATGTCCCATTCCATGTCGAGCTTCCATGCCTCTGTACATGTACAATTTTCAAGCAGGCTGTGACAGAACTAACTAGCTGCAAGGTTCTAAGGAAGCATTTTCTGTAACAATTCAGCTGAATTTTGTATGACACATGCACGAAGAAGGCCCTTGATTTGCAATCATGTAGCAATTGTATGTCAAATGTGGCCAGACCCTCAAGCACCACAAAAAGCTGTGTTTATAATGCTATTTATTCCCTCTTTTGCTCAGTTTCAGAGAAGAACAACTTGCCCGGTCCGGTGTCCACGGTGCTACAAGAAGAGACAAAGGCGTTGTTCGGAGAGGTGGACATCAAACAGTTTAATGCAGACTTCATCAAGAGGAACTCCAACTCATTACAACACCTGTTAGCAGGTAAAGTAGCAAAAAAAAGCTAATTTTCAGCTTCAAATTAAGAGAACATTCTCATATCATAATGATAAAGACAGATGATTAAAGGGGATGTGTGAGTGTTGCTGTTCAACTACCTTTTGTTTGGTCAACACTCTTTACAAGATATGTTCCTTCTTGTTGTCTTGTCAAAATGTTCAGATAAATGTTGTTTACATGTACTTGTTCACTGGTGTTGATATTTTAGATACAACATGTACTCAGCTGTTGATCTTCAAATTGTTTGTCTAAATATCTGTTATGCTATTTTCATTGTCAACAGTAATGTGTTATACATTGTATTCCATAGTGTCACATTCAGTCCATACACTGTCATATAAAGTTGCATTATTAGTAAATCAGCTACTTTATATTGGGACAAAATACTAACACACTAGTTTATTTTTTTGCATTTTCCAGGTGCCAAGATGCTGTACTTCTTAGATCCACAAAGCCAAGACAGAGCTCTAGAACTAGCAACAGATCTGAGTGAAAACTTGATAGATAGGAATGTCAAGGTGAGGAATCCTGTTTAGAGTTTAAAAACAAAAGAAAGAGGTCTTTGTTGTGCTATTGTAATAGTTGTTTTTACACATACAAGTAAGGACCTTTCTTGCATAATTAATGAGAAATGTATCAAATATATGTCAGTCAGTCATGGAGGTCAAACTCATTTGGTGAAGGTACAAATGTATAAGGTTTTGCAATTTTCTTAGAATTAGGACAGTGCATGTATATTAAAGTCAATATCCGAATGTAATTGTGTTTGTTGAATGAGGAAAACTTTGAACATTTTATATGATGTATATGTAGTGAAATGCATTTTTGGAACCTTTCCTGTTTACACATGATATTACAAAGTGTATCCTCTTTTCTATAATTTGTGAATGCTTCCAACTTTATACTGTCCTTCCAAAGTTGAACTCTTTGTACTATTTGTACTATTGGTGGTAAGAAATTTCTTGTTTAAAATCATTTCAGATATGCATCAAGGTACATGAAGCCCTGTGCTCTGGAGCCTTTGGCAAGTGTGAGGAGCAGACGGAAGCCTACAAGACGCAATGCCACCAGATCTTTCCCTTCGCCAGAGTATTCATGCCGCCCAAATCAGAATCGGACACTGTAACACAAGATGGGCAGCAGGACGGGCAAACAGATGGGCAAGACGGACATCCCGAAGTCGACGCCAACGGTTCTTGATGACATCATCTTAGCGTAGGGTTCTAGGTGCGGGATGGAGGGACTGACACCAGGGATGAGGACAAGCCAAAGCACGTGTACTTGTTCGTCCTGTTTTCCTGGACTTGAAGAGAAAAGAGGAAAGCTACCAGTTCTCGCTTTGCTTCAAGGCAAATATAAGACAGTGTTGTGTGCAGCTTTGGTACTACCTAAGAGCCAAGGTGTCTTCCTACCTGAAGACAAAAATAAAACTTTGGACCAGAAATTCAGACCCTTACATCTCAATGTGGCATCGCTTTGCATCCAGTTAGTTATGTGTAGAGCATTGGACGTTTTGTACTTCATAGTGCCTACAAAAAGTAAGACAGGGTTGGGGTGGGAACAAAAACTGCTGAACAGTTACAAATCGATATTGAAAGGACATAGGTGGTTAATTGCTTTTGGATGTACTGAATGCTTGTAGTTTTTCCACTCCCAGCCAATTGTAAGATGCAATTGCAGTCAGAAATAATTGGCAGAAATGTGCACTATTGTGCCAACTTCCTCCAAACCAGTCAGCCATTTTTTGTTGGTTACCAATCCCTGTGGTATCATAAAATGTTTATAATACTACAGGGAAATGTCACAATTTTTGTATGAACTGAATTGTGTAAGAAATATGTTATTTGGCCGGTAATGTCAAAATACATCACTAGCCTTTAGACCAATGAAATGTAGTTGGAGGGCTATAGTAGTGTTGCTGTCTTATGGCAGCAGTTTTTTTATGTTTGACTTTAACACTTTTCAAAGCTGCAAAAACTTTGATAATGTTGTTCAACTCTGCATATCAGTCTTCTTGTTGAGCACATCACTGCTCAGAAGTGAGCTACTTGCTGTGATATTGCAACAATTGGAATTAAATTAGTCATCCCGTAGAGCCGAACATACCAGTACAGTCAAAACTGCCCAAGACAACCACTGGGGGGTCAGTTAAAATGTTGACAGGTGGTCACTATGGACAGGATTCTTAATGCTTGTGTCAGTGGGAAAAATTATGTAAGGCATTGGCCAGGTGGTCCTTATGTAGAGGTGGTCACTTGTACAGCTTTGACTGTACCACAAACACAGGTCAGAGTTTGACCGTGTATTGGCTTAATTTTTTTGCTTGGCTCAATCATGGGAACTGCAACAGAACTGGTGTTAGAATGCACAAAACAAAGCAAGGATAAGTATATGACAGGCATCAAGGCTTCAAAGGCAACAGCATTTTATTTAGTACAACGTATTAAAAATTCAGTTTCCTCCCAAAACTTCAAGCTGCCACATCTGGCATCTTTTCACCGAAAACCTAAACAAAGAGAACTGCTAAAGAATCGAGCCGCAAGTACTAGAGCTAAATCCAAATGTAATGAATTATATAGATAACTGTTCTGAAGTAAAAATATGGCAACTGTTTTGAAGTAAAGTATGATCAAACAAGTTTAAGTAGTAGGTTGCCTTATTTCTTATGAAATTAATGTTAAGTTTGATGGATACCCGAATGTCCTAAGATTGCTACCTCCTCTAGCATATATAGATGCAAGTTAATCATCTAGACAATGAGGTTGGTAATAGTAATACTGGTTTATTTCAGTTCTGTGTACAAAAATGATAATTTGGGCGAAGAAATGGCGGAAATAGCTGGAAGTGCATGTATATACGAATGGATTTATTTTTTCCATGGTTGGGGAATTAGGCTGTAGAACATGTACAATTAATATTGCTTTGTTGTAGACTCTATGTGGTTGTACTATAAAGTTGTGTAGCAATACTTGTTAATCTCTCCCAAGAAAAAAAAGCTCCCTTCGTCTCAAGTAGTTTGTTTCTGTGGAATGTGGCTTTTACTATGCAGATCTTACCTTGAGCTTGAACCCTTCTGTATGTTGTTGATTCACACTTTTTGTCATGCATCATTCTTCATCAAATATTCTCCTTATGGAAAAATAAATAATTCAATTCCCTTTTATACAAATTGATGTGTTTCTCCTAATCATTTGCAGCTGTCTCTTGTATTGGTCCTTGTCAATGATATAATCACAGCTATCTCAAGGCACACTATATGTTCATGGGGTATTCAAATGATCTCTCTCTATTATGACATCAATGAAAAGTCTCCATACAAACTACAAGAGGTGGGCACTAGTTCAGCTGTAACATGCAAGAACATAGTCATTTTGACATTTCTATTTACTGATAGACATCTTACTAGGTTATCTGGCCATATTGGTAAAAAAAATAACCCTGAATCAAACTACTAGTACCCAAAAATCCACCTGATTCTGCACCATATCCTTGGGCTTTCTCATCAACATCACTCCACTATACTGAATTTAAACATAATTTGTAGAACCCCATGAATCCTGTGTCTTTGTCCAAAATCCACTCTCCAAAATATGATATACAGTGTGGTACTACTACCTTACCGTTACCGCAATACTTGGACCTGATCAAGCTGAACCAGCACCCACCCCTACAAAGTATGACTCTCCAAACAGAGGTTTGGGTTTGGGCTTATATTTGGCGTGTTTTAATGCTTTTTTATCGGACTTTTTAAAAAATCTTTCTTACACCCTTGTATTGGCAGTAAGAAAGACTAAAAACACGCCAAAAATAAGCTCAAACCTCTGCTTGGAGAGCAACAAAGTACTGATTACACTATGAAAGTTTCCCACTCAGAAATGCGTGCTCCAGGTTCAGGTATGTAGTGATGAACTCTGGGAAGTCTCTCTTGAGGACTATCTCCAAGAAAATGGCGGCTGCAGCGTCCATGTGTGTGGGGTGCAGGTCTCGGAGTGTCTGCTGGACCAGCCCCTCCACCATCCTCCGTGTGATGGTCTCTCCACTGTCCTCCAGTTTAGCACCATGGCGCACCCACTGCCAGACCTGTGGTGTTTCAAAGCAGGTTAGTCTGGTTTGGTTTTCCTTTAATGCCCACGATCATGATAATGATCATTCTGGCATACCCATTTTCATCTGAGCAAAGTGAGGGAAGTCGTGTCAAGTGCCTTTCTCAAAGGCACAAGGTTGGTGACTTGGCAGGATTCGAACCCGGGACATCTTGGTTCTGAGCGGAACACTCTGTCGTTATGCCATATTACCTCACTGTCCCCCTCAATCACCCCACCGAAACTACTGTAGATTGATTCACAAAATAGCTTGACCGTGTGTACTTTCATTGCAATTTTTGCAGTAGCCTCCTAAACATGGTTTTCATGATGTTTAAATTTGCAGTTGAAATGATTCTGTAATACAGCAGTAATACATTGGAAATACATTTTGCAATGTGTTTGTCTAGTATAGCACCCCCATCCTCTTTTGCAGGTATGCAGTTTAGATACTAGTATGCAGGAATGCATTATGCGGTGAGAAATTGCATTAGAAATCTCTATACATGCATTTTTACAGGTGCCAGACATACATTTGTATGTGACCCAGCAGAATTACATGTGTATATAAGTTGGTTGCCATTTAACTTTTGTCTTCAGTACAGGTTACCTGTGACCTGGATATCTCAGCTGTGGCAGAGTCCTCCACACAGCCTTTGTAGAAGAAGTGCCCTTGGCCTGGTGGGAACAGAAAAAAATTATTGTGTATGCAGCATACTTTACCGGTATGTCTTTTTTATATTCACCTTTTCAGAAGGAAAACATATTGTTTTTGCTCTGTTCCTTCTTTTTGTCCAAACAAATAGGTAAGGTCAATAACCTGGACCAGATGTCTGTCACCATGGTAACTGGTGCGGTGTTGGTGATGTACAATGTAGCAAGTGACATACATGTAGTTGGAGGGGCTGGTTACCATACATGTACACATGAATGTGTTTAAGTAAGACAAACAGAGGAGTAGTTTGTTAGGCTAGACTGTGTCATGGTTAACATTATATTTGCTTTGCAAATGTTAATATCTTTCTAGTTTGTGGGTTGTGCTTTCATGTGTAAATGGAGAATACAACAGTGTGTTTCACTCAAACTCAAAGTACCTGCCCTTAATCTAACGCAGTATCTTCTAACATGCTTACCTGACAGCCAGGCATTGATAAACTGGATGCCCACAGCTATGTTGTGCTTCAGGCCATTCAGAGTCACCCCTCCCTGCAGACAACATGTCAAGAAAACCCTTTGTTGGTACTGCCTTAGACTTTGCAACATGATCGAAAAGCATACAGCGGAGAAACAAGTTGTCTAATATCAGTTTGGAACAACGGAACCAAAACAACTTTGTCTGGAATTTTTAGGATTTTAAGAATGGTGAATGCGTGAAAACATTCATTGTTCCTTTTGCACCACTAAGTACAGGTCAGACATACATAAAATATACACATAGACAACAAGGTTTTGCCAAAATATAAGAATGGTGTTTGTGCAAGTATTTTAGGACATGTAACATACTGTTGGCATCTGCAGTAGATCCTTGTTCAGTGCATGCACGTCTGTTCTCTTCACATGGAGCTGGTTGGTACCAGGAGCAAACTTGTCATACAGCTACAAACAGAAAAGAAGACATAAAATAAAACATAACAACTTTGTTTAATAGGGTCTGTCAGGGAACCTAACGTCCATGTCACGCATAGCCAACTATGTGGTTGGCAGTTGGTTGGTGAGGTTTCTAGCCATGTGCAATGGAATGACTATAAAAATTTCTAGCAGCATAAGTGTTCACTCACCAGATGCATTGGTCTGATAAGACCCACATCATACACCATGAAGCCATCTGCACCAGACTTGATTTCACGCAACTTGTCCCTGCAAGGCAGTAAAAAGGTTCTGTTATCAACATTTATCTGCCAGGATTTATTATTATCTACCCCTTTGAACACAGTGTGCTTGAGAGATTTCTAGTGCAGCACCCTCCTGGTCGTGGTATGCAGTGTAGATATACAGGGCATTGAACTGGGGGATATACAATATGTAATGACCTGGGGAATTGTTAGGAGACATTGCAGAGTTCGAAATGCTTTTTTTCTTAAGCCAAAAGCTAGGTTGCCCATCAATTTTTCAGGTTGCTGTCAACACCAGTTGTTTATTTTAGGACGCAAGCCAGACCATGTACAAATGTATCACTCACATGCTAACCAAGGTGGGACAGTTATTTCAAAAGCCATGAGTGCTGAGCTGCTGTAAACTTTAAAAGGGTCGCTTTGTATGCAAAATGTTGTGTACTGAAAACATGACTTACACGAGAGTGGGTATTTTAAACCCTGTTATGTGTCCAATAGGGCCAAACAAGTATTGGTACATTTGTACATGTACATGTGTAGAAGTCATAGACTGATTGACAGAGAGACATATAGAAGCTGTAACCCACCTACACACCCTCTCGACCACATCATTCCCCCCAGCCTGCCCCCCTGCGGGGAGCAGCAGGGCAGACATCCCCCCTGTAGCGTGGGCCCCCCTCTGGTGGCAGGTCTGGATCACCAGGTCCATGTAACTCTTCAGGAAGTGGCGTTCCATGCTCACATACTTACTCCGGTCAGGAAGGACAAAATCTGGTCTGTGGCCTAGATGCAACAGATTGTAATTGTGAAAATGTATTTCTGATGATTTACTTGTAGTAACTTGCTGCTTGTGTAGCCATTTTGTATTCCTCCCAAGATTAAAGCCATTAATATTTGCAATAAACTTCTCAATAATAACACTAGTTGGCCAAACCTGGCTGTATCTATGACAGCCCAACTAAAAAAGATTTACATAAATAGATGCAAGAGATACATCAGTTTTCATTCTGAAATTGAAAATAGACTGAAATTGAAAATAGAAATGATCTCAAACCAGTTTAGCTCAATGAGCTCAATGAGCATTTGAACTACTCTTCCACTGGTTGTGACAGAGAAGTCAAGCACTATGTACAGTATTTTCAAGTACCAGTGAAATTCCCCTAGCTCTTTTCCACATATAAACTGAACAGTGGGCCATGGCCAAATATCCAATTCTATACTTAGGACTGTGAATCTTTCCAGTGTTGTGCATGTCAGGTAAGCGGCAACAGCCAGGATTGGAGCTCACAACTTCTTGGTTCAGAGACAGGGTCATGAACTGCTGAACTATGGAGGCTAAAGATTGAAAGATTTTAACTGTGGTTATGACAGATGATAATATTATGAGCAGTTGTCATATGGAATACAGATTTTGAGGCTGTATATTCCCTTGTGTTTGAGAGATAGACATATGCACCTGTTTTGCCCTCCCTCTAATGTTGTGATAAACTAAGATAAACAAATAAACAAGTACCAAACTTGTTGACGAATGATGCTGAGTAGTCCCACATGCCACAGTTGAGGCCCAGACTGTGCTCTCTCAGCTCATACAGGATCTCGTGCATCTCAAACGAGGCCAGGATGTTCTCAATCAGAACACAGGCCTTCACTGTTCCTATACGGATGTCCAGCTACAGTAACACAACAGCAGGACAGGCATGCCTATCAGTAAGGACCCCTGAGTGTCATATCATCGTCATATCAGAAGAACAAAACAACAATTGTACACAGTAAAGATTCTTACTCACATTGTCCTGTGTCCAGATGAAGACCTTGTTCCATAGCCTAGCTTCACTGGCACCTTCAAGCTATTAACCAAAGTGAAAAGCCATCAAAGAATCATCAGATGAAAAAGGCAACAAATAATTTTGGACGATTCTTTCTGCAGTGTTATATAGTTGACAGACACATGTATAAAACCTTCAAGTTGATAAAGCCCTCCAATACAGTAACCTGTAATTCAGTACCTTGGAGAGGTAGAAGAAGGGCCCACTGTCCCTGTCTATCAGAAGGTGTGCATTGTGGAACATCAGCAGAGCAAAGTCAAACAGTGGACCTGGAACCTCCTTACCATTCACCTGGGTGGAAAAAGTTCATGATAATCAATTTTTATGAATTTTGTAAAAGTTGATCAGAAGTTGATTAGGCACTGAACTAAGTTTCGGTTACTAGAACATCATCTCTTCTTCTCAAGTCTGAAACATCAATGATCCAGACAAGCTTGATTCACTGAGAGTAAGGACTAACTGATCCAACAGGAGAGAATAGATTAGTATACATAGGCTGCTCTGAAACATTCCCTATGTCATTTAGGCTGGAATAGCCTTACCGTACAATACACACAAACATCCACTTTTAACACATTTTAATAGTATTGAAATTTTAACCTAAGATTTTCCTTATTCCACTCAGCAAGCATAACTTAATATGACCTTACCAGCATGTTGTGTTCCACCATGTTCCATGCTCGAGGTCTCAGCATCAGGACAGGAGCATTAGAAATGCGAGGGGCACCTACAAAACAGCAGGACAATCAGTGTATTAGACAGAACAAGAGCAAGAAAATGTCAAATGTTTGTTTTGCACAACCAGTAAACCCCATTTAGGCATAACATACCAGTTTTGTCCAGTAACTACAAGTGGTATAAGACCAGACTGTAAGGTTTGAACCACTTACACTGGGAAAGACCCCTACTCTTTTAGTATGCATGGTGGGATATCTCATTGAAGTGTGGCTCTCCTTTAACACGAGACCTCCAGCTTTACGAACCTTAAACTAAAGCTAGGTACTCATTTTTCCCAGAGTTGAGTGAGAAAATAGGTGTAAAATGTCTTTCCCTATGGTACTATGTTGGGGAATGCCAGGGATTTGAACCCAGAACCTTTGGATTCTAAGTCAACAACCCTGACCACAAGACCACCTTGCCACTTGTTATACTTTATTCTTTTTCTTCTTCTGATCATTAAGCTTGATAAGTGCTCACCTGGTAGTTTGTTGTGTACAGCCAGGTAAACATTGTACAGACCCTTCAGCTGGGTGGTCCAGGTGGGACAGTGACCGTCATCAAAATCAGTCTGAGAGAAAACAGTCAAGACCAGAATTAAAAACAATACCGGTAGACTTTCTCTTACTCTATTGTTGAAATACTGAGCTAATTTTTGCTTGCCAAAACTTTTTGTTCTCCAATAATTACCTTCATCATGACATTACCTGGATGCCCTCTGCTTTACAGTTAACTGTCTGTAGGAAGTATTGTGTGAGTAAGTAACCTGGATGCTCTCTGCTATAGAGCTCTGAACCTGTAGGAAGTATTGTGTGACATTACCTGGATGCCCTCTGCTTTACAGTTAACTGTCTGTAGTAAGTATTGTGTGATTAAGTTACCTGGATGCTCTCTGCTATAGAGCTCTGAACCTGTAGGAAGTGCCGTATTGTGTGACATTACCTGGATGCCCTCTGCTTTAGAGTTAAGTGCCTGCAGGAAGTGTTGAGTGTTGGCAGGTGAGACATCGCCCAGGTCCACATGTCTGTTCTGTAACCTCCTGGGGACTGGGTGGACCTTCCATTCGGCCTCACGAATCCGCCTTGTGAAGACAACACAACAGTTCTTATCTATTTATTGAATATCCAGACAGCTGGATGGTCCCATTTAACTTTGTCGAATTGTACAAAAGACAACTGTTACTGAAGAAAGTGGATGGATTTTCAAATCCAGTTGCTTGAGTAACTGCTTTCTTGTGAAACTCATTACCCAGATGTCTAACCTTCATCGGCATACCATATACATGTAATAGGATTGCTACAAAATAACGTTACCTGGTTTTCTCAGGAAAGTCTGGAAGTTCTCCCGTCTGGTCCATCTGTATCTTCCTCAGAACACGAGCCCTCAACATCTGCAATATGTGATGGAATTTGAATTAATTGTGTTATCAAATACAGGCATAACAGATTGTTGGAAGGTGGACTGTTATTTTAGTACGGATATTGCAATTAGATCCCACAGAGAAAAAAGAAATAGCAGAGCTAGTGCAACAAATGATTTAGAAAAAAGACCGACTTAGAGGAGCTTAATTAATGCAGTAAAGAAGAAGGAGAAGTATCCTGGACTTGGCTCACCTGATCAACATCTCTGTCAAACTCTGCACAAAGTCTGGCCACAAATGCCACAGCTTCAGGCGTCAGGAGAGTCCTGTGTGCCTGCTCCAAGCCTGGGGGTGGGGGCTGAACCTCTGCACTGATGCCACGCTGCCAACACAAAGTAGTATTTGTATTTTGGAAGATGGAGTGAAATATGCTGTATTTGCTCCCAAGCAAATGTTGGCCTTTCTTGTGTTACCTTCACATGGTCTAGGCTAACTATTGCTAGAGATGTTCTTACTTAAACATATTCTATATATAGTGACCAGCCCTGGTGACCATCAACTCTGCCCTGCAACTTGCCACATAATGTAACCACCGAGTGTCTGCACCAGTTACTATGGTGACAGTCAACTTTAAAGCCTAATAACCTCTATTCTGTTAAGCTTACATCCTTATTGAAGCTGTTACAGCATTTGAAGTTAGCAATGTTTTATGATCAAAGGAAAGGAACAAAAAAGTGAAGGATCAAAGTCCAATGCCTTTGCAACAGTACTCAAAACTTTTAATATAGCACTATTGAATAAAGTGTTTAGCTGTACGACTAACCATCTACTTTAAAGGTTTACCTTCTTGATCTGTTCCTGAAACTTTTTGCCCAGTGCCAGTTTAGCTCCTGTTTCCACCATGCACACCTTGCCTTCGCCACTTTGCAGAGGTTCAGGACCTGTAGACCTGGCCTGAAGTTTTGCTCCACTGGACAGGTGCACTTGCAGAACTTGTAGTCGTCTTTTCTGTTGCTCCGACATCCTGAATCATGCGTTTCTTTACTGGAAGACTTATAGATTACCGAAGTTTCACACAATCGTGCCAACAAGAAGGACGAATTCGCAAAACAAACCCTCAAACTTGTTGCAAAATGCAACACTATGTCGTCTGCTATCTCAGCTGCTTTACCTGTTTAACGCAACAAACCGCTTCAAAATAAGAGAATATTGGTTTTGAATACCATTTATCAGAATACATCTATCATTTCTATTGACTATTAAAGATTATAATTTACAAAGTTGATAATGATGTAATATATGAATAAAATTGTATGTTATATATGTTTAAGTGATGACAGGTTGTCACATTTTGATGCTGTTGATACTCACGTTTTCATCTGTTATCGCGAGATTACGCGAGAGTTAGATGCTCTACAAGAAAACATGGCTGACGAGTCCTAGAAAAAGGATAGACACCGGTAAATTCTGAAAAATAGGAGGGTTAACCTTGAGTCGACAGGCTAATTGGTCGATGTCGCAGCTGCAGGGCGGTAGGTTGTAACTCTGGGCCCCATATTTCGCGTACGAACGGCCAGTAAACAATCGCAAATGGAGACTGAAAACACCACCTCCGAAGTTTCCGAACTGGAGTCGACTTTCTCCGTAGAGAAGCAGAAACGCATCTTCAAAATCATCGTTATCGGAGACTCTAACGTCGGTAAGACTTGCCTGACATTCAGATTCTGTGGCGGCAAGTTTCCGGACAAAACAGAGGCCACGATCGGGGTGGACTTTCGAGAGAGGACACTGGAAATCGATACAGAAACGATAAAGGTAAGGAGCTTGCAAATTGTCTCGTATTTAAATGGAAGCATCTGTTTATTTACGTTTACGCAAAGCGTTTACGTACACATACTTTATAATTATGTCACACAAGAAGTTCTCGTATCAACCTGACAACAGAACATACCTGGGCATATTTCTGTCATACCCTAAAGTATTGTTTTTCCATTGTCTCTGGGAGCTGATATTTTTGTTTTTAGTATGTAGACTTCATTAGACTTCAATGTCATGCTCATGATGCTGCTGATTTTATTAGGATAGAAGCCAATCAAATTGTGATCAATGGATGTGTTCAGTCTAACGCCCTCTCTTAATTAGGTGATAATTACATCTGCAAAGCATCAATTGATGTCATTAATTGGCGACAAGGTGTTTCTTAGGGCTTATTAGTTTCATTGTAAACAATTTGCATGTGCCAAATAGATGTGTCTGCATTGAAAATTATTGGCAATGAATAGGAAATGGTGGCATTTCATACCTGGCACTTCCAATGTTAACAGTCTATTCAATGTTGAACTCAATGCAGGTATTAATCTAATTAGTCCAGAAATCTAGATGTAACATCAGGTTATCATTCAGTTATAAAGATTGATGGCTGTGTTTTCATAGCCTCCTGTGCAGGCCCCGCGGCGGTGGAGAAGAGTTTTTAACGCGTTATTTTAATATAGCCGGCCATCCTACATAGCCGACGAGAGAAGGTTGCTTTACGCCCACGGGGGCGGAAAGCAACCTTCTCTCGTCGGCTATGTAGGATGGCCGGCTATATTAAAATAACGCATTAAAAACTCTTCTCCACCGCCGCGGGGCTTGCACAGGAGGCTAGTGTTTTCATATGATTCCTGACAATGACCTCTACTGTGTGCTGTATGTATTATGATACTGTGCTTAGATATGAGATAGTGTGCAGTCAAATAAAACAAACTAAACATCTAGATACACATGTAGTTCAGTGTACTTTATCTTTCTCCCCACTAAGTAGCTTTTCAGTACCAAATTGTTTTGTTTGACTTAGGAAGCAAGGAGAAGGTTATTATAAAAAATTAAGTGCATGAGTGAACCAAAACAAACAAAAATAAATAAATAAAAGAGATGATCTACATTTGTGAACTTGTTCTGACATGTTTCATTTGTGATGACATTCCCTGTATAATGTCCTTGGGTAATGTCATGAAGTATGAGTCTACTGTCATTACAGTTTTATGGCAGATATTGATTGGCGTCAATGACCTTCTGACATCTACGCTGCCTCATTGCCATATGGATTTCTCTACTGGTAAATGTTATGGAATATATATGCGTTAAAAGAAAGAAAGCCAGCAAGTGTAAAGTGGAAGTACATTTACAAATGAATGTAATATTTGAGTAGCGGCAGATGCAGAGCCTATTACTTTAGGGCCTGGTCACAATCGTAAACTGTGGGCATTCTTTTTGGATAGTTGTGCATGTGTCATACAAAATCCAGTCTTTCTTTTACAGGAAAGGCTGCCTTCATAATCTCCAAGCAGATCTATTGGTGGCCGCAAGACAGTATCCAATTGGCCAGGCAGTATCCATTTGCCAGGCGGTTACCATCTGCCAGGCAGTATCCATTTGCCAGGCAGTTACCTTCTGCCACTCTAACTCTAAGAAAATAAAAGATATCAATGCAGAAAAGAAAGCCTGATAAAAATGTCTAAAAACACTTAGGCCAAAGCCTAAACATCTGCTTGGAGAGCTCAAGGATGCCTTCAATCCTTGCTGGCAGTTGTAGTTACCTCTCTCATAGCCTCACTGAGCTTGAAAATTCCATGGCATGAAAATCTTGCAGTGACCTACAACAAATGTGTCCCACGATTGTTACAGGGACAAGAATGCCACCATGCAGGACAGGAGTGACCATGTTTTATTGTACTTGTGCAGTTCGCTATGACTTCCTTCCTGATGTTTGTGATGTTTCACTGCTACCATATAGACCTGTGTCACCACAGGTGTGCTCAGAGAAGCCACATCCTCTTCCTGGGCTTTCATCCCAGCAACAGCGAATATTTCATTGTATGATATGGTGATGTTTTTACCATCTCTAGATTCTTTGTTGGTTGGTTGAGTTCTGAATTTGTTTTTTTACAGAAGAACTCAAAATAGTATAGAGGATTCCTTGAAATTTTATGATAATGACTCAGATTACACATGCCCCAAAATCTGATGGTAGGAAAACTGCATCTAAGTTCCTACTAGTAAATTATCAGTTTGAGTATCATTTATGATGTTATACCCATGTATGCAGATGACATGCCACATAGTTTTGATGTACAAACAGTCACTATGACTGTATTTCTTCATTACCAAGTCTTGCCGTGTTTTCCCACGACAGTAGATTTCTTTAGAAGTACAAAACAATAACGTTTGTCATTCGTCTGCATCCAGGTAGAAGATTAGATGTTCAGGACTGCTGCACAAGGTCAAGAACCTCTGATCTTCTTTACTTACATCATTTTCACAGGGAACGGCTCACTACGTAAAAGTGCCTTACGTCACTCCTATAAACTGCCCACACTGGTGTTGCAACTAAATGTTTCAACATACAGGACCATGTGCCAGTGTACCAGTGATACTGGTTTCAAGTATTTTTCTTGGCTCTTTTTGTATATATGAAGTGGAATAGAACTAATAATGGGTCGGAAACAGCATATATTGTGTGTTTTATAATGGTAGGAAGTTAGAAACAAAGGACTGTGAGTGGATTGGAAACATCCAATGTTGACCTATACTACGTACTATAGCTGCAGGGTAGAGGGCATACCACAGACATCACATGTCAATCTTATGACTGGTTTCCAGACAGTAGATCTTCTTTAATTATAATCTTTGCTGCAGTCGTCTTTCATGTAACTTGTACAATGTACTTACAGTATAAAACTGGAATCAGGCAATTCAACAGTTAAGCAAAACAGGCAAAAACAGAAAAGAAGTCACTGAAGTGATGATTATAAGGGATACAAATTATTATGTTACCCCAGTTAACCAGGGGAATGACAATTGAGCTGATCAATGCACACGTACATGTCATCCATAAATTTTGCTGTTGTCAAAGATTGACTACATATACTTGAGAAACTGACATTTCAACATAGAAAAAATCAGACGATGTTTTATCGGCAGTAGCGGAGACTATGAAGTGCTGGGTTACTATTGATTATCTATGACTCGTCTGGCAGCCCAGCCTGACTCTCATTTTCTATTCTGCAGCTGATAACAGAAGCCAAATATGTTTCAGTTTTGAAGGCAGATCACATGCATCATTCTTTTTTTTAGAATAGTTTTTTTCCTTTTGCTAATGAAGAGCCATGACAGTAACGGCTTGTTTTGTTTCCTGCTGCCCCCTAGCTGCAGCTGTGGGACACTGCAGGTCAGGAGCGCTTCAGGAAGAGCATGGTGCAGCACTACTACCGGAACGTGCACGCCGTGGTGTTCGTGTACGACATGACCAAGCTGGCGTCCTTCGAGAACATGCCCGCGTGGATCGACGAGTGCGACCGCCACTCGCTGTCCGCCGACGTCCCCCGCATCCTGGTGGGGAACAAGTGCGACGAGAAGGACAAGATACAGGTCAGCACGAACTTGGCGCAGAAGTTCGCCGACATGCACTGCATGCCGCTCTTCGAAACCTCCGCCAAGGACGACTCGGAGGCGGACAATGTGGAGGCCATTTTCATGACTCTGGCGCACAAGTTGAAGGCCCACAAACAGATGATGAACAAAGCCTTACCGCGGTACAATTCCACAGACATGAAAAGAGCCAAAGTCATCTCCATTGGTAGGGAGAAGAGTGCATCCAGTAGTGACTGTGCCTGTTGATTGACAGGGCTTCTGTTGTTGGTAACCGTCTTTATCCGGAGACAGGATTCTGCACGCAGAGTTCTACAGACTGGAGCTCTACACACAGTGGATATCCCAGAACATCACCACTATGAACCAATAACTGTTAATTTGTAAGGCTTTGGGAAACTGGGAGCAGAGCCAGAGTGCAGTAGCCCAGGGCCATGATTGGGAAATTTCAGCAGCAAAGCCAGTAGCTCATGTACAGAGACTATAGAATATAGGGAAGCAAAGACTGACTGGTCTGTGTGTGGGGAGTGGGGTGTAGGGCTGTGTACCGAAATACCTGTACCTGTAAAATTATGTTGATACAGGTCTGGATCTTAACATCTGGTTTACCTGTACCTGAACAAAATAAAACACTAGTGGACAACATTTTTTTACTCCAAAGATAGATAAATTGCATCTAAAAAGATATTTAGAACTTGAAATTAGGAAACACTCTTGTTTTCAGATAAAAATAAATAACTGTAAACCCTCATACAAAGTCAACAATTAACCACTAAAGAAGACAGTTGGCTACATGTATATTTACAAAATGAATTTCTAAGTTTTACTTAGGTACAGATTTGCAGGTACATAGCTTTAGGGGAAGTGTTCTATGTACTGTATGTGGCAGGCCCATGAGTAAAAACATCCTTTTGTTTTTTGTCATCTACAAACTAACTAGTGCTGCTGCCTCATGTCTGAAAGTGTTACCTGTGCGATAGCTAACTGTAGACTTGTCCAGGTTTAAGTACTAAAATTTAGTAAAAATAGTGCCAGATGAATTATTAGTCCACTGGTTGCAGTTGCTGACAAATCATGCTGTTATAAAATTAATTCTGCTGCTGGGGTCTGTAAGTATGGGCCAGTCAAGTTTGGGTTTGATCTTGCAGTTTGTAACTTACATTAAATAATATAAGTACTGTATGTAGAGGAAAAAAAATGTTTTAAGTCACTTATGTTGTATATTTATATATCCACAAAAGATGCTATGTGTATTAGCTAGTAGTCATTATGTGTAGGAAGTGAACTATGTCTTATGGTATTGAAGTTGACACTTGCACATACAGATTTGGGTTATGGGCACTTTTGTCCAGTCACAAAAATACAAATAAGTTTTTTGGTGCGAAACTCATTTGTAATATGAATACATTTGAAATGAGTCAGCCTATCCACGTGTGCGCAAGAATGGACTGCTGCTCAATAGTGCTGCCACACTCATTTGTATTTTTGTGACTGGACAAATACACCCCTAACCCAGATGTAGAAGTAACTTGATTAATAATCATGTTTCCTGCTGGTTTCATCTGTATTGTACTGTCACATAGTACAGGCTAGACCTCACCAAGATGCCATCACACGTCCTGTTTAGGCTAGTCTTGAGTTTTAAATCAAGTGCACTTACACATCTGCTGTGTGAGACGCAACTGCATTAGCCAATCAGTGTTGAAATTGCCATGCATAGGCAAGTAGCTGCCATCAACAAAAAAAACAAAACTTGGAGTTTTGGTATACCCAGTGAAATGTTTGCTGTTGGAGAGCTTTGTTAGATTTATATGTAAAAATTCATGAGTGTTCTCATGTACGTGTACTAAAATTGTTACTGATGCTCTTAATGTAGGGGTGCTAAAGAATACGATGTACTAGTATGTTGTAGAAATTTCCGCATACAAAATCATATTATAGCTTATATTGCTGTTGAAATTATGTCATTTGTTTATTAATACCTTTGATAACCTGTCCCTACATGCTGCCAATATTTATAAATCATATCTGGCTTTGAGCGGGAACTTGGCTTCAGTATCAACTTAGACTGGAAGTGTTGACTGAGATTTTAACTTTTACTGTGTAGAAAAGTACAAACAATAGTCACTCAGGGTAGACATCTCCAAAACTTCAATAAAGAAGTAGTTTCTTATTTACATTGACTAATCCAGTACTGGAGCTATGAATGTTACCATTCACAATTGTAACTTAGGTAGAACATTAATGATAATATATTAACTACATGTCTATCTGATAGAAGTTGTTTCTGTATTATGCTTATACTGCAAAAAATTTAAAGACACGTTTGGATTTGGGTAAGGTTTTTAGCCCGCTATGATATCATGATTAGCCGACATACAAGTTAGCTACTACATGTACAAATGTATTTTTTGTATTACTCAAATCACTGATGTATAAGATTTAAAATGTTGTATCATCGTCAAACATCAGCAATGAAATGCATACAATCATTAAGATTTTGGACAATTAGTCTTATCTATTCTGTAATTAACCTTCTCCCTGCTAAAGTAGACATTTAGCTCGAAATTTGAATAGTTAAGGGGTTAGGTAGCAATGGGAAGGTTAATTGTGGAGGTACATTGGAGAGGCTAGCTTGTGTTCTCACATGTACAGAATCATTGTGGAATGGGCAACAGTGAATGAATGTGAACATCTACAGTGTATGTGTGTGAAAAAAGTGTAACTATTCACACTGACTGAGTTTCTATGATACAGCAAGTGTTTAGACATTTTTTTCTCATATCAAGGCAGAATACAACATTAATTATATCATTAATGTACATTGATATGATCATAAGTAACTGTATAACTATAATTGAAACTTTGGAGGACTCTTGATATATATATAGGACAGGTTTAGCTACGTCTTTTTCTTAGTACAAAGGACTTGCTCATTCCAGAAATTTCGTTGAACGATTAACAGCTATTGTTGTTGCATTATCTGAAATTCATGACATGCTTATAATGTGTCATTTTTACCACTTGTTTAGATTATATATGATATGTAAAGTTACATAATATTATGATTATTACCATAATGACATAATCTTACAATGCTTACTTGTGCTAATGTTTTACAAGTTGTATTTTGTCTGTAAAGCCACTTTTCCTTGAGGTACTGCTGTGCAATCTTAAGTACATGTTAAGATGTGGTGTTTGTGCACGTTGATAAACCTTAAAACAGGGTTTTGTCATCAACACAGGGTTTACTGTGTCTTGTAAGAGCTTTGGGAGGTAAATAAAGGAAGTACAAAAAGGGCAATGTTTTACTTGCCATTCTTTGCATATTTTCTTCTCAAATTTCGTCTTCTAATTCCTGCTGATTACCTTTTAATTTTGGCATTGGTTCTTGTAGAACAAATGCGCGAAAGATTATAACGTATTATTAGGTTGTTGATAACAGGTGGAAATACGAATTTAAAGGTGCCCTGTAGCTGCACTTTCGTCCCTTTTTTTATACCGAGATTGACATCAACGTTAGTACCCTTCGTAATGAGATAATCTAATCGTCCTTCTTCGACACATATAAGTGCCTGGCACCGGAACGGGCCGTCATTGGTCGTCATAATTAGATTATCAACTTGACATAATTATGCACGGCCGTTCTGCACACCTGTGTAAAACAAGTTTGGTATGGTCCGTGCAAAATGGCGCTTTCGTACGACGGGAATACTAGTACTCTGGGCTGATTTTTTCACAACTTTCTGGGTAATTTTAGACGTTTTCGTCGGCAGAATGTCTTAGTAAGTGTGCAGCATAATGTTTGGGAGTTTTCGCTGTGGATTTGTGCCGTTCTGGTGATGTTTTGAGGAGAAAATACGGATTTCCTGACCTGGCGAATTTTGGAGAAGACAAATGGCGAGACAGTTGGGAAGAGTAGCGTGGTATGGACAAATGGAGACGACTTCGCTCATTGTTTCAGGTAAACCAGTACATTGTTTGGCTGGCATTATTCCTTAGCAACTAATACGAACATGTCAACTTATTCCGTGAGAAATGAACTATTTCTGTATTAGGTAGCGACCGTTCCTAATTTTACATAGGCTTAGAAAAGTCCATCTAGTTGTCGCGTTTTCAACATTTTCAATGTGTGGTGCACTTGTAGAGTGTTAAATGTATGTGCATGTCTTTTTAGTCAGTTGTTAAGCGTTTAGAGGTTATATTTGTCGGAAGAAATTCTGCATTGACCAAACCATTTTCTCTCTTTATCTCCACGTGGTTCAAAACACCTGTTGGAATGTTCTTCCCGCCAAAAATTTGCGTAAACAAGATGGGGGCCTCAAAGCTTCAGGGTGCCGAAATGAATACGATACAAAACGGTTGGAAACTAGTTAAATCGAGTTGACCATACTTTGAAATTCGTTCTTCATTATCATTTGAAATGTATCATTTTTGATTTAAAAGCTTGTTCGTTTCCTTTTTAGAGTAATTCAGTAAATAGTAATGACCTAGCCCAAGTATTTCTGGCGCAAACACTACAGATGACTATGCTTGAAGGTACCTGTTTTCAAAATATTTTGCGCCAACTTTTTTCGTATTCCACATAAAGTTTCAGTTGAAGGGGGTTGATTTGTTTTATTGTTGTTTCTATCCCCATTTTTATGGTCATTATGTAGTTTTTGTCAAGGTATGTGTCCGTTTTAAAGTAAAGATATTTACGGTGTCCAACTTGTAATGTATGCATGGTTAGATGAAGGCTGATGCAGTAGTGAGAACTTCTGTCTGAATCTGACAAGACAGAGTGGACCAGACCAGATGATTTGAAGACCGAAGAGGAATATCAGGTGAGAAAAATCCCAATTATGCATTTTACCCACCATTTACTTGGTATTATTTGAGACAAGTGTGTAACTCTTAAGGTCTGCATAGTTAGGTGGCTGCTGACTGATGCAGTACTGAAGACTCTGGCCTGTCCGAACCAGACAAGACAGATTGGACCAGATGATTTGAAGACTGAAGAGGAATATCAGGTGAGAAAAATCCCAATATGGCATTTTACCTACAATTATTTGGTCTTATTTGAGACAACTGTGTAACTTCTACTGTCTGTATAGTCAGGTGGCTGCTGTCAGGACTACTGTCTGAACCTGAGAAGACAGACTGGACCAGACCAGATGATTTGAAGACCGACCCAAGAGAAATATCAGGTGAGAAAAATCTTAATTCTGCATTCAACCTATTATTTACTTCATGTTGTTTGAGAGTGTGTAACTTCTAATGTCTGCATAGTTAGGTGGCTGCTGACTGATGCAGTATTGAAGACTAATGTCTGAACCTGACAAGACAGATAGGACCTGACCAGATGATTTGAAGATTTAAGAGGGATATTAGGTGAGAAAAATCTCAATTCAGATCAGGAGTTTGTACCTGTCCATGCAGGTGAGACAATATTTAAAAACTGTGAATTTTTCTTTCCTCTTGGATGTATTACAAACTGTGGGATAACATGCTGCTAGTAACAGTTACTAAACACTTTAAAAAACCTAAATTTTGTACATGTATTCAAGCAACTTTTACAACTTACGTGACTTATTCCTGTCCTCACATGTACTAGTATGTTAAGAACTCTGATGTGTAAAATGCTACAAGTACATTGTAACATGTTTAAAAGCAGTTTTGTGGAGCCTAACTCCTTCAAAGTCTATTCAATCAATGGGATAGTTGAATTGCATGATGTTTTTCCATTACACTTAATATCCTTTCATATAATTTTGTTAGGTGTGTCGTGAGGGTCAGCTGTCTGTTCTGGGAGAAACCAGTTGACTTGAAGATGCAGAAGGAAATGAAGACAACGGGCACAGTTGTGAGTATAGTTTATTTGTTCAGCAACACACCCAATACTGCTAATACATCTCTATCCTATAATCCACTTGTCCAGTCACAAAAGCTTGCACTGCTTTTGATTACACATTATGTCACACTTTTCTAGACTCCTTTTCACATCTTCAAACAATTAGTCATACATAAGAAGTTATAGTGTCTCCAGTATAACCTCCTTGCTTCCACATTGCACTTTGTCATTTAAAATACAGCACGTCACACTTTTGCATTGCGTTGGACCTTTAAATACATTCAGCTACAACTTAACTATAATCATAAACTTGCATGTTGTGTGATATACATGTAATGTCATGCTTTAGTAAGGCCAATTGCTGTTGTCAGTACAGTGACTTTTGTTCCTCTGTCTTCCTAGCCTCTATCTTCAAGTTGTGGACCCAAAGACCGGATTGCAGCATGAGGAAGAACCAGACTTTGTAGGCAGGGCTGCATGAAAGAAGATGGTGAGGTGTGAGTATGGTTTCTTTGTGAACACTCCACATGCTTTCATGTGCACACACTTGCACTCACTCACTTTCTCTAGTCACTCTGAATGCCTTTTGTGAGAGAAGCTGTTACCCATTGTCACAAAATGTAATTGGTCACTTCAATTTTGTTATCCTGAATTCATTCCGATTAGCGTCAAGCTTAAATTTTCCTGTGAAAAATATCATTCGAGTGACTAAGTGTTTTGGGAGGTTGGTCTGAAATAGCATGAATTTGTGAAATTGCCCCCTTATTGGACTTGTACCCCCCTCCCCACACTTCTCCCACAACTCTCACAGTATGTTACTTACACTGTTTCCAACACTTCAAACTTCTTTGGACCTTTACACATCAATTTCACCGCCAAAAACTTTGGGTATCTTAGCTGGCCACATCAATTTCACCCTGATTCCTTTAAGTTAATTTTCCGGCCAAAAAAAAGCTAAAAAAAAATAGCTAAGTGGGACCCTCACCTGGTTAATTAATTGGATTAAATTTTCCCGCCAAAAAACTTAGTATATACACCACTCTAACCTTGAA